GTATCTATCTATCTGCCTGCCCATCCAACTATTCATTCCAACCTACATTTGAAAGAAAACCACAAGATTAAATAATAATAATCGGCAGGGTGGGGGAATGATAGGCTACAAAACACAAACAAAGGAGCCAATTCCAAAGAAAATTTGTAAATTATTTGAAGAAAGGGAACTAGACGGAGGGTAGGGGGTGGGGTGGGGAGGGAGGGGAGACAAAAACCCAGGAGGATATTTCTACAGACATTGTCACCGGAAACGCTATTCAACAATCCGGAGCTCACAGAGGTTTGAAATGCTTCAACACTAAAGGCCATACTGACACCAAACAATGAGGAGCGACTACTGGCTTCTAGATGCACCTTTCTGCGATGTAACCATTCAGGCCCTTCATGCTGGATACCCACCAGCGGTCCTTGGAGAAAAGGCTTTCCAACTTTTCCTACAGAAAAGTTTCGTCAAGAGGCCCGTTTCAATAACGAGAAAGTGACTTGGCATTCTCCGCGGGAGAGGATGGCGATCTGTCAGCGTAGAGGGCAGGATCATTTTAGAGTTCTGAGACCTTCTGTTTGAGGACAAGGCACAATCTCTAGTGTCGGATCAGCACTGGCACATGCCAAGGCGGGGGTGAGGCTTTGCTACGCGCCAGCCACCTGTAGTCCAAGCCCGTTTTGCTAAGGGCCCGCCTGCCAGCCCAGGCGCAATCTGCAATGACGACTTAGAGAAAGCTGAGGGAGTGCGAAGAGTAAGCGAGTTTACTGCGAACGCTGGCGAACGCTGCAAACTCTTCCTAGGAAGGAGGCCGAAAGCGGACGCGCTGTGAGACCGGGGTCCAAGCGCCTGGCGGCTGCACGGCACCGCTTCAAACGGAACACAGTCTGGCGTTTCCCCGCCTGTCAAGTGAGAGAAAGTGTAGACCTTTCCCTGGCGGCTGCTCCAACTATTCTAGCCAGAGATGAGCTGACATTCTGGAGAATCCTCCCTTTTCGTCATGGTCCCCAATTTCGTTTTACCACGTAAAATACAAACACCGGATAACTGCGCTGGCAATTGCGAAAGGAACCCTAGGACCGACTGGAACTCTAGGAAATGTCCATCCACTCAGATAATGACCACGGACTTTGAGTTAGATTTGCTCCTTTCCTGACCTCAGCTTTCTCATCTGTGCAATGGTTCGGATGCTCCTTTGGCAGGGAGCAGTTCTAGAAATACTACCTAGGAGGCACTTAGGTAGAGAGGAAGTCTGGGTAGGAGGAGGGGGCATAGAGGGTCTGGAATCTACATTTTCGTAACTCACAATGATGCCAAAAGTTTTTAATTATAGGATTAGAGGTAAACACTCCTCACCCCACAGCCATCCCCCCTCGCGCCCCTGCCTCAACCTTGGCCTGTAGGGTCAGAGTAATGGCTGAGAAGGGGTTGATTCCGTGTACCACAGGCTCCCACTTATATTGCACTGGCGTCCGAGCGGTGCCACGAAGCCCTCACTGTTGCCCGGAGCCCTCACCCGCGTCGCCGCCGGGATGGGACGATGGAACGGCGGGGGTGGGAGTGGGGAGCGTGGCTGGGCCTCGGGCGCTGATGTCACCTTTTCCAACCGCCGCGAGCGAGCAGAATGGTTTCCGGTATTTTCAAAGCGGCGACTGAGGAGGCTCGGACTTAGTCCCAGACGCCGTGCCAGGCGGCTGCGCCCCTGGGGTAGAAGCTCGGGGGGCCTACAACCGCAGTGGGGCCAGAGACCTGAGAGACTTGCGCTTCAGCCTTGGCTACATCACCGTCGCTATGGCTTCTCTTCTCTGCGCCTCAGTGTCCCCACCAGGAAGGGGAAAAACCCTGCTCTCTGTAAACACCTTTCCGGCCTCCAAGGCTGCAATTTCGGAGAGAAAGACCCTGAAGCTCTTTGTGTACTTTTCGCCTGAAAGGGGTTTATCTTCCGGTTTGCTTTGAAGTATGGTGACCCCGACGCAACTGGTGAAAGAAGTGGGGGGGGGGGCAGAGGGCTGACCCGAAAAGCGCAAGGGCCTTGGGAATGGGGTGGAGAGGGAGAGGGGCTGGCTCTACTCACTCCTTTCCAGTTAAAACCTCCAAAGGCTCTTTTGTCACACAGGGCATTTGCAGGAAAGCCCTCAGGCTAGCTCCTGGATCCCTCAGAAGCTTCAGTTGGCAGCCAGTGGTGGTAGGAGGGTACTTTGCCACATCAACATCTGTGAAATAGGATGGGGACTGGACTCTATCAGTCTTCTGATTCCCCAAAATCTAGAAGTGAGGCCTCCAATCCTGAAAACTACTGCCTCCCCACCCTAATCAAAGAGATACCCTAGGAGTCTGAATAGGGATAAAGTGAATTTGTGATGGTGGATGTAGAAGCTGAAGCTCATCAGACCCTAGGTAGGAAGTGAGAAGGTAGAAAAGGTGGACTGATTGGAGGATTGGGACTGGAGAGGAGGCCAAGAAGGTGGGCCTGAGAAGTATAGGGAGCAATTTTTTTTAAAAAAAGGATCCAACCTTACTTACCTTGGCCCCTAGACCAGACTCTTCCTCTTGCTGGGCCTCAGTTTCCTAATCAGTTGGACTAGGCAGAGGCCCTTCAAAGTTTAACAGTGGGGAGGGGCCAGTCTTCTAAGAAACACTACTTTTTTTCCATTTGCTAGGTGGGAGGTGGGGTGGCTGCTTCTAACCAAGGGACTGCTCAAAGTAGACCTTCATCACACACTTCTGAAGACCATTTTTACTAAGAATCACCCACTTCAGGAATCGGAAGCAACTGGAGGTCACCAAGGCCACCACCTTTCAATCCTGATGACAACTTTGAGGTTTAGAAAGGGGTTAATCCTGATCAAAATCACAACTACTGGGGGGGGGGGGAGAGGACTGGGCCAATGGAGTTCCTAGGATCTGAGTCGCTAAAATCTAGTCAGACATTCATTCCCTTCCCAAGGGTGTTCTATATTCCCTATTCCATCCTCTATGTGGTGGTGGTGGTGGTTATGTGCCGTGAAGTCGGTTCCTACTCATAGCGACCCTGTACAGGGTTTCTGAGGCTGTAAATCTTTATGGGAGCAGAAAGCCTCATCTTTCTCCCGCGGAACAGCTGGTAGTTTCGAACTGCTGACCTTGAGTTTCGCAGCCCGATTCCTAACCACTACGCTAGCAGAGCTCCTTACACCATCCTCTATAGTCAAAGAATTTCGGCCATCTTCTAGTTCCCACAGGGTCTAAGGCAGATGTGCTAGTGGCCTAGGGCCAGCCTCATGGCATCTCTGCCAGCAGCTGTTGTTGTGTGCTGTTGATCTGGTTCCTATTCAGAAAGCTAGAGAAATCCTTTTGTCTTGAGATGGCTAGGACAGAGGGTCTGGTAAACCCTATTTCTCAGAAGTGAAGACTGAGGATCCTGCAAGTTCACATAGTAAAACAGAATGGCCCAGGACCTGTTTGGGACCAAGTACTGACTGACAGTGATGGGAGGGGACTCTTAAATCTCCAGAAGGGAAAGAGCACTCATCCACACTTGCTTTCATCCCATCCCTTCTTGCCTGGAAACATTGGGTAACCCCTTCCATCCTGTACCCCATTCATTCCTCCCCTTCCCCCCATCCTACAAATACCCTCAGTTCCCGGGTGCTTGACTCCCCACCCATTCCTCACAGCCTCCCTGGAGCCAAGTGTCTTCATCTCTTTGGACAGGCCAGGGGGTTTCTAACCAGGAAATGGCAAGGTCATTTTTCACTGAAAACTTGGGGCTTATGTTTGTGTAACTATGGAGAGAAGGAGGAGCCAAAGAAGATGTAGTTGCTTTCCTCAATCACATTGATGACTTTGAAGCTACTTCAGTCTCCTGATCACCAATAGTACCCCCTGTGGCTCCCTGCCCAGCTCCACCCAGTACCCACTTTCTCAGATGCTTGAAAAAGTTCAGAAAAGGTGAATCCGAAGCCTTGCTTTTTCCTGGCATTGGTTTCTTCCTCTAACTAGAGGAACATAGCCAGTGTACTTGGTTTTCCACAGAGGAGTATGAATTCACAAATCATATGGCAGTTTAAGCAAATATAGATCGGAGAGCATTTTCCTTTCAGGATTGCTCAGAGGAGGAATGAGGACCTAAGTGTGCACATGGGCAGGTGCCTCACTGTCCCCATTTCTTAATGTAGTCTCCCTGCATCCTGACAGGAAGGTCTGCACACCTCAAGGCCACCTCCTCCCTCCTTCATCACCTGGCTGTGCTATCTCTGTCCTCCTCCTCCGACCGTCCAAGGCTCTCTAACTCCCGACAAAGCCTTGGCATTCCTGCTCTGCCAAATTTTGCTGTCCCCTTTCTTTAGTGTCTGGATTCCCTGTCTGCATCGAAGCCCCTATGTCTGCTTTGGCTCCTCTGTCCCCTACAGCCCGACAGTTCGCTGTCTCTTGCTCTCTTTCTCTCTGTTTCCCTCTCGACAACCTTAGAATACGTGCCCTGTCTCCTTTTGGCACTTCTCTCACCTCGCTTGTGGTCCTTCTGTCTCCCATCTCTGTGGTCTCCTAAGCTCTTCGAATCTTTCCCAGGCGTCAGTCCACACGGCCTGCCTCTCTTTCCGAGCGCTCGCATCCTTCCTTCAGGACGAGCTGCCTGCGCTCTACACAGCGTCTCCAGGACTCTGCCCGCCCGCCCCCTCCCTCGAGGGCGCCCTCCGATTCTCCCTCCCTCCTCCAGCTCGGACATCCCGGGCCCGCTGCGCGGGGCGGGGCAGGGTGGGCGGGGTCCGAGTCGCTCGGGGCGGGGCGGTGACGCGGGCCGGGCAGGGCTAGAGGCGCCGCGGCGCGGGGCGGGGGGCGCAGTCTCGGGGTCCTACCAGCCAAGTCTTGCTCTCGACCCCGCCCGCGCCCTTGCGCTCCGCCTGGCCGGCGGGGGAGGGGGGCATGAGTCGGCTCCCGCCCGCGGCCGCGAGCTGCGGGCCGGCCTAGAGCCCCACGCCGGCCGCCCCACGAGCTGAGCCACCGCGGAGTTGTTTCCACCGCCCGCAGGAGCCGCGATGCAGCGGCCAGGAGAGCCTGGTGCCGCGCTCTACGGCCCTGCGGAAGGCTGCGCTGACCATCGATCACACCGTTACCGCAGCTTCATGATTGAGGAGATCCTCACCGAGCCGCCGGGGCCCAAGGGCGCTGCACCCGCCGCAGCCGCGGCTGCTGCTGCAGGCGAACTGCTCAAGTTCGGCGTACAGGCGCTGCTGGCGGCGCGACCCTTCCACAGCCACCTGGGTACGTGCGCACCAGCAGAGGGCCGCGGGCGGGACTCGGCTCGGCGGAGGGCGCGCCTGGAGCCCCCAGTGCCTGCACTGCCAGAGGGACCAGCTCTGAGTGCGCTGTCCCCAAAGCCCCTCTCGGAGCGCTCTGGCCGGGATGCGGAGGGTTCAGTGGCTCGGCCCAGCAGAAACCAGGCCTCGGGTCCCCGGGCGCTCCCTCCTCACAGCTGGCACTGAGTCCTCCTGCCCGGGAATGGTCCGGGCCCTGGGACTCGAGCCCGCCATCCCCATTGGAGGCAAGGCAGACTCCCTCCCGGACGCCCGATTTCGCCTTTGCATGGGCTTCAGGCTGACGACCATTTCCCGGCCAAAGCGACCTCAGGCCGGCGCCTGGGCCTTCGCCCAGAGGGTTGGCTATTAGTGGCCGCGACTGACCAAGGCAAGGAAACTGGAATCCCTGGGGAAGAGACCCAGGTCTCCGACTACTGGAGGCTGCCACTGGTCCTAGCCTGTCTGGAATCTCGCTGAACTCGGTGCAACCCCGTTGGGGCATTCCCGGGTGCGACAAATAAACGTAGCCTAGGCTGCACCGAGCTTACTGCCTGAGCCTTGCCTTGGGCAAGAGACCTAGATTGTAAGTTTTGGCCAGCTGGGCCCTTGTACAGCTAGGCCCTCAAGAAGCCTGAGCCGAATGCTCAGACTTTTTCTCCTTTTGCGCTTTCTCTTCCTTCCTTTTTGGGCCTGCTCTATATCAGTGCTCTCTTCACTTTGTCGCCTTTCCTTTTCTCTCTCCACAACTTCAGTTGGTCTCTCCCTTTTCCTGGGGCATCGATGTCTACTGCCCTCCTCCAACCTTCCCCACTTTCTAGTCTGTCTTTCTCCCCCACATTCCCCACCATCATTCTGCAGTCTAGACCCCTTGGTGAGATACTGTGGAAGAGAGGCTCCTACTACACACAGCAGAAACTGTAGTCTCAAGCCTTTTCTGGCTCCCTGTGACTCTTTAGCCAGCGCTCAGCCTGAGCAGGTCAATAGGGCCAGATTTTTCGTCCCAAATCAGCTCTCACCAGCCTCTAGGCTGCCTTTCATATCCAGCGACTCTCTTGCTAATAATTCATCTGAAGCGGGTAAATAAGAAATTATTTTAGGACTAAAGAAAATGGAAACGTTTTAACAGGATAAAAGTCTGAACACAGAGAAAAGGAGAATAACGATCGCTTTCTCAATTCGTGGGATGCTTTGGAATTCATGGGAGACTACCATCCCTCCCACCTTTGTGGACAATCTGGCCTTCGAAGCTGCCATTCACAGCATAGCAGATGTACTTACTCCACTGATTTGTTTTCCCCTAGAGAAAGCAGAATTGCCGATTTGTTTGGGTAAAACGCTCCATCTTCTTGTTTGCTGTTTCTTCTTGTTTCTCTTTTCCAAAAAGACACACTCCACTCTTTGGAGATACAAAATTGTTCATCTATAACCTCTAAATCTCAGACATGGTGGCTAGGGTATGAGGAACGGTGTGTGTGTGGGGGGGGTGGGGTGCAGAGCACGGGCTTGGGGAGATCCCCCTTTAAATTTCCAGAACTGAGGCGTTGAGGAGTGTCGCCCCAGAGGGTGATGCAAATCTATGGCCAGTGGCCAATTGCAAAAGTTTTGTGCTCAGTGGCAGTGGTTGAGCGCTGATACCCCTGTGTCCAAGTATGTGGGGGTGGTCGTGCGCATTGTGCTGGGGCCCCTAGTCCAAGGAACACGACCCAACACAAGCACACAACTTACTTGGCTTTGCACTCTTTCCTCGCTACAGCCGTGCTAAAGGCTGAGCAAGCTGCAGTGTTCAAGTTCCCTTTGGCGCCGCTCAGCTGTTCGGGGCTAGGGTCGGCGTTATTGGCCGCGGGGCCTGGGCTGCCTGGCGCTGGGGGCACGCCGCACCTGCCTCTAGAGCTGCAGCTCCGCGGGAAGCTAGAGGCGCCGGGCCCAGGGGAACCCGGCACCAAGGCCAAGAAAGGACGCCGGAGCCGCACCGTATTCACCGAGTTGCAGCTGATGGGCCTGGAGAAACGCTTTGAGAAGCAGAAATACCTCTCCACGCCGGACAGGTAGGGCGGGGCCAGGTTGGGACGAAGTTGATGTTGGAGGGGGTGCTTCCTGCCCTGCTGAGGGTGCGTCCTGCTGGTTCGCAGAATAGATCTCGCGGAGTCCCTGGGCCTGAGTCAGTTGCAGGTGAAGACGTGGTATCAGAATCGAAGGATGAAGTGGAAGAAAATAGTGAGTGTGTCCTCCTCGTGGCTTCTGCGTCCTGTTTCCCGACCATATTCCTTGTGCTCTCCCTTTCTCCGCCTCCACACTCCTTCGATACCTGTGCCCAAGTCTCTTGACTATCCAGGTTCCCTAAAGAAGCCAACATTCCTTCCTGTCCCACTGCACCCTCAGGCCGCCTGACAACCTTGAACTTTTCCGCCAGGCTATTTTGTAGCCTTTCCCCAGCAGCACTCAGAAAATGGTCACCACTTTCCCCTGAGTGCGGCCTTGGCCTTGTTGAGCCCTGTGGCCAGCCCTGCCGCAGGACGAGGCGATCCCCATTTCCGGCGCCCTGGGATGTGTACCATACCCTCTTCGCAGGTGCTGCAGGGCGGAGGCCTGGAGTCCCCTACCAAGCCGAAGGGGCGGCCCAAGAAGAACTCCATCCCCACTAGCGAGCAGCTCACAGAGCAGGAGCGCGCCAAGGAGGCGGAGAAGCAGGCGGAGGAGCCAGCGGAGCCAACAGACAGGAGCCGCGATGACTGAGCGCGGCAGCGTAGAGCCGGGGGCGCCCGCAGTCTTCAGTCCGCGGGAAGCCGTGAGCCGGTCCTGCCACGTCCAAGTCGTTTGCTTCTAAACGTTTTATAATTACCTTAAATGAGAACAATTCGGGGTCAAAGGAAGAAGGAGACAAGATCCTGAAGCCTACCCCAAGCACCAACGAGCTCCTGGCCCTACTAGCCTCGGAGACTCGGCGCCCAGTGCGGAGGAAGCTGTTCTCCGCTCGAAGCTTCGGAGTGGACCTTGGCCTCCACGCATACTCACGCCCCGCTCCTCGCCCTCACTCCATCCCGCATCCGGCAGGTCCTCCTGGTGCCGGACGCCGCCAGATCACACACCCGCTTCTGCGCGTCGGGGTTGCAGCGGCCCAGCGGAGCCCACCACGGCCGGAGACGGTGCCTGGGACTACCCGGCAGCTCGGCCCCGAGTCCTCCACGACGCTAGTGTCCCCTACCCCTTTCTTTCGAAGACGGCGATTTTTTTCCAATAAAATATTTTATGACACAGCGGGATTGGTGCGGCGGCTTCTGGCTCCGCGAGCGGGGCTTGGGGAGAAGTGTCTGCTGTTACTTTTAAAACATCCTGCAATGCGGGAAGAGCTACTCGGCTCAGGCTAGGCACCGCGGGCGCCCAGCTGCCTCGGCATCCTAGTAATCGCTTCCATGTTGGGCAGAGAGGCCAATCTGAACCCTTTCCCCTTCCTATCAAAAGGCTCTGCCGGCGGCAGCAGTCGAACTGCTCAGGAGTTGTCAAAAAGGAGCGAGAGGCGCTGGTAAGTCCGAACCCCTGAGGGGCTCGCTCGGGAAAGTCTTCTGGCTTGGAGCCGCTTCCTGGTTTCTGGTCTAGACTCCTGGGACATGAAGAACCTACTGTGCGATCCTCGCGATCCTAGAGCTTCATGATGTAGACGGGAAGTCGAGGTTCACACGAGGGCTGCCCCAAGAGTGGTACGTCGACCCATGTATCTCTGCTGCGGTGGAGTCTGTTTCAGAGCCTTCAGTTTTCCTCAGGCGAATGTAAGCAATAAGGCAGTAGTGGGCGGCTGAGTCCCGGGGTGGAGAAGCAAGAGCATCTGAAGGCGCACCTATCCTACCCCAGATGCCTTTAAGGTTTAGCTGGACAATTGAGACAGAACCTCCCCCTGGAGCCGCGACCCCGGAACTTGGTGATGCGTGCCTTCCAGAGCCCCTTCTCACTTTGAAGGCCTGTTTTTCTCGGTTCCTGGCTGGGCTCAGAGCTCGCCTGTGAGTTCCTATGCTTGCATTTCGTTCGGAACGAGTACTAAGATATAGATAGGGAAGGAAAGTTGACCATTTTGTTGGTTAAAGTTTAGAAAGGGGAACAGCTTGGCCATTCAGAAATCCAAACAGGATTAGGATTCAAAACCAGGGTCACCCAAGAGTCAGGAACATCCCAGCTCAGGGGCAGTCTTGCATTTCCGAATGTGTGAACCACCCAGTTTTACACGGACTCAGAAGAACTGGCAGTTATTTTATTTTCAAATGTCCACTGATCTTCCGGTGTGTCTCCAGCCACGATTTAGGGCTGGGAATGGAGACAGGACAGTTTCGTGCCAGCGAAACTACCTTCTCCGTGTGGAAAAAACAAACACACCAAACCCTGTGCTGTGGAGTCTATCCTGACTCATAGCTTACTCTAGGACAAAGTAGAACTACCCCACAGGGTTTCCAAGACTGTAATCTTTGTTCTAAGGAACTCTGGTAGGGTAGTGGTTACGAGTCGGGCTGCCAACCGCAAGGTCAGCAGTTCGAAACTACCAGCGGTTCTGCGGGAGAAAGATGAGGCATTCTGCTCCAGTAAAGATTTACAGCCTCGGAAACCCTGTGCAGGGTCACTATGAGTCGGAATCGACTCCACGGTACTTACCAACAACGTTTGTTCTAATCACTGACCTTTCAGTTAGCAGCCAAGTGCTTTAACCGGTGGTAGAATCTATTCTAATCCATAGTGACCCTGTACAGGGTTTCCTAGGAGCGGCTGGTGAGCGTGAACCACCAATAGTTCAAAAAGACTTTGCAGTCCAGTGCATTAACACGCAGCGCCACACCAGGACTCCGACTAGACCACTGTTAGCTTTGCAAACAGTTTCCTGTCCACTCATCTGAGGGGCCTAAGAAAATCTGCAGGGCCCTGGGTGGTCTGAAAGCAATGATCCTCAGTGTGCCACTGTGCCCCTAATTTCTTCTGGCTCTTAGCGTTACCCTCACATGCACTCAAAAAATCCCGTAACCTTCCTGCACCTAACCTTACACTATTGTATTTAATCCTCTCCTTTACAAAAGTAATGTCGGTTCCGACCCACAGCAACCCTGTATAGGGTTTCCGAGGAGCAGCTGGTGAGCTTAAACCTCCGACCTTGCAGTTCAAAGGGCTTTGCAGTCTGGCGCATTAACCCACAGCGCCACACCAGGACTCCAGGTCCCACAGGTAGGGGATTCCAAACTTGCCTCACAAACTTGCCTTTGTTAATCAGCTTGGCAATTGAAGAAGGAGCAGAGGGATGTGCTGATGCTCACTCACCTGACACAGTCTAGGCTAAATTTGGCTAAATCAAAGGAATTCTGAACTTGGGCAAATTGCCCTGAGCTTCTACCGTCTACATTTCCCTAAGGCAGCCCCCCTTCTAACACCAGCGACCAAGTGGTTACATAAGGACTTAAGGTTTGGGTTCCAGTGAATCCTGTATCAGAGCACAAGGGCCCCCGATATCCCAGCTGTACTGTCTGCAGTCACAGACAGGAAAAATGAAGGGGATTCCTATCGTTGGGTCACCAGGCAGTCGGTGGGGGAGCTGGGCCTCAAACTGGGGGTCTAGATTCCAGTGTAGGCGGGGTAGAAGGGGTGGAGTTTTGGTCACAGCTTACACTGCCAAACTCCTAGGCGGGAGAGGAGCTGCAGTCACCATCGCAGGCCAAGGAGCACCCAGGCCGGGAAGGAGGTTTGCCTCCTCCAGGGGAGCGCTGGTCTTCCTTGTTTGGAGGCTCTCCTGTAAGCCTTGAGGAAAGTTCCGAATCCTCCCTCCGGAGAAGCAAAAGTTTGGAGGCAGAGAATTTGTAACCGACTCTGGAAACTTCACAGACTGCCCAACCCCAGAGCTGCGAATCTAGGTAAAGGGTACTTATCTGGTCTAGAGGGAGTCGCGAGTTGCCTGTTCACACCAGCGCCCAGACCAGGAACTCCCAGGCGCCGTTCCTGAGTCTCATCCCTCGTCCATCTGGGGCTAAGGTGCCATCCTGGCCACCACCGCGCCTCTCCATCCCAGTCCGGCCTCAAAAGCTTCGTGGGAAGGGAAGGTGCCCCTCTCTAACTCTGCCGCCAACATTTCTTCTCCGCCCGAGGTTCTGGGAAACATATTAGAAACAGTGCAGACGGCTGCGCTTTCGCAGAATAAGGGGCGCGTGGACTGGAGCGAGCCGCCTGATAGACCTTCGCGCCCCAAAGCCGACAGATAGAGCCGGGCGTCCTGAAGTTGAACAAGAGCTGGGATACTCAGTTTGCGCTGAGCGTTCTTCATTTGAGGTGACTTGGGCCTATTTGGACACCCTAGAGAAATGTTGACTTCAAGGGCCCCCTGCCCTCGCGGGACCCCCAGAAGGAGGCCTCTGGGATGTGGAACCTGGGCGAGCCCCGTGCCGATTAAGAGGAGTACAGAATACTGACTCGGGATGCTATTGAGCAAGTCGTTCTCCTAGTGGGAGAGAAACCCAAGATATTGGTCTGGGAGGTGGGTAGAACTCAGCCCTGGGTGTCGCGTAAGAGACAGGGTCAGTCACTGCGAGTCTGATGTGACAGCCGCTCTTGGAGCCTGAAATTGCCGCTGGTTCCGCGAAGAGCCCCCATTCGCCGAAATCAGCCGGGGGGCAGGTCACCGCCCTTGTTTTTTTTGTTTTTTTTTAAAATAAAGGTTAATCTAGTTAACTCCTTTTTTCTGCTTTGGATTCTCCTGGAAATTCATTTGTGTGAACTCAAAGTGTGGAAGAAAGCAAAAATGTGCCCAAGCCAGGTTTACCCCACAGCTAACTTCGGAAGTTCGCACTCTTAAGGAATTGGAAAGAGTTCTCTACTGTGGAGCCCTGGTATGAGATGAGCACTGGAAGGCTAACCAAAGGGTTGGCAGTTCATACACACCAGCCGCTCCTCGGAAACCCTATACAGACAGGGTCGCTATGAAGTGGCACCTAACAACAACCTCGACTGTGCAGATGGGGTAATTGAGCCGTCGCTCTGAGCTCATTGTTGTTGTTGCTAAATTTGAATCAGAGTCCGTTCTGACTCATAATGATCCTATATAGGCTTTCCCAGGCGGTTAGCCAAAATGCGAACCTCTCAACCAGGGGGAGAAGGTTGGGGGAAAGGGCACATCTCCTGGGCTGAATGGTTCTCTTGAGAAACCAGGCACTGAGTTTTCAGTTGCCTCTTTCTCTGATTTTGCTTCTATACGCGATGAGAGTTCTAGTTCCAAAAGCGACAGCATTAGAATAGATTCTGCTGTTAAATTCCAAAGGACACCACTTCAGTTTAGTATTCAAAGGGGCAAGTGAGCCAGTTAGTCTTGGTAGCCCCTGCCTCCCAAGACCTTCTCTCACCACTTCTCCAGAGACTGAAGCCAGGGCCAAGAATGGTCACCTATTCTGCCTAGTTTGGAGGGCTGCCAGCCCCTTCAGCTAGGTCCCAATTCCTAAAGCTGAATGGAATGTCCACCCTTCTCAACCCCCAACCCATTCCCACTTTGGGGAGGCAATACAGCCTTACTCCTAATTCCTGAATTGATTGGCTGGACAGAAAGGTGACAGTCACAAAATAATCCATTAGTACTGAGTCCTCTGGGATGTGCTCCAAGCCCTCCACAAGATCCTGGACACAGCCTCGCTATGGGTCCCTCTCTATCTTCTGTAAGACAACCAAGGGCCAGAGGCCCCTCAAGGCCTTGCCTGCCTGGACTTTTTAGCAGTGCCTCTAACTTT